TTCCTTTTTACCCAACACTCCTTGCCCAAACCAGTTCTCCAGTCAAACATAAAGATACAAAGGCGGCAGTCTGAAAGTTTATGCAAAATATGACTTATAAAACCTTACAGAATGGAAACTCCTTTAACAAATGATGCTGGGAAAACTGTAACTCTGTGTGTAAAAATAAATTCCAAATGGATTAAAGATTTAGATATTAGACCTCCAACAATAAAATATATAGAAGAAAGCATTGGTAATATATTCCATTCATCAATTATTGAGAAGTATGGGAAAGAAATAAAAGTAAAATAAGCAATTGGAATTACCTCAACTTAAGAAGCTTTTGCATCACTAAATAAAGTATATTAAAAATATGTCATACTGGGCCTCCCTGGTGGCACAAGAGGTTAAGATGCAGCCTGTGAAGCTGTCTGCAGCCTCAGCAGCATGAGTTCGATCACCGGCAGGCCAGGAAGCAACCCACATGGCGCAGGAGACCTCTCCTGACTCGCCCACTGCTCCCCTCAGCAGTGTGCTTCTGTCGATCTGCCTATTCTGTTCCCTGCTCTGTCTCTGGTGAATTCTCTCACCCCCCACACCTCTGGCCTGTGCCCCAGCTCTTGTATGCATAAATAAATCTTTAAAATACATATATGTCCTACTGAATAGGAGAAAATATTGACATTTGCACTACCAACAAGGGGGTAGTATCTGAGATATATTAAAAAACTGCTAATTCAACAATAGCAAAACAACCCAACAAATAAATGGCCAGCAAATATGAACAGACAATTAGCTAAAAAGTGTATCCAGAAGGCCAACAGATGCATGGAAAAATGTTCACCACTGCTTCCAGTAAGAGACAGGCAGGGTAAAAGCTCAATGAGATATCATCTCACAGCTGTGAGAATGCCACAGCTGTGAGAATTTGTTAAAAATTCCCCCAACAACAAGTGCTGGAGAAGATGTGGAGAAAGAGATATCCTATTACATTGTTGGTGAGGGTGTAAACTAGTACAGTTATTATGGAATTCCATCTGGAATTACCTTGAAAAAAGGAAATATTATTTCATCCAGCAATCCTATTCTTGTGCATTTATCCAAACATGGGACCATCAAGTCCAAAAATCTGTATGCTATACATTGTTTACTGCAGCACTATATACAATAGCTAGGATATGAGAACAACCTAAATACCCATCAACTAATTCAAGAAGATGTGTTACATCTACACTTTAGAATGCTACTGAGCCACAATAAAGCTTAAGTGCTGCTGTTTATAGAAAAGAGGAGTTTGAAGGAATTACGTATAGTGTAGCAAATCAGAATGACACAGAAAAATATTGGACACTTACATAGCAGGCAACTCAACAAAGTAAAATACTTATAAAAAATAGTGAACATTAATAAAGGAAGTGAGGCTTCCAAGGTTGAAAAGAAGGGGGGAAGCCAAGATTAACGGGGATAGTTAGGGATGGTGGTGGGAAGACAGAAAAAGAAGAGAATGAAAACTACTCCATAAACTGAAAAATATTTGTAAATCACATATTTGATAAAGGATTTATATGCAAGATCTATAAAAACAATTATTGTTTAATTTATATAATAACCAATAACTTTTTAAATGGGCAAAAGATGTGAATAGACATTCATGAAAAAAAGATATGAAGAAATAAGCAAGTGTAAAGATGATCAATACCATTAGCCATTAAGGAAATGCAAATTAGAATCATAATGGGAAACCAATACACACCTATGGGAATAGTCTAAATAAATAATAATACCAAGTGCTGACAAGTATGTGGAGCAAGTCAACTCATATGAATCCTGGTGGAAATGAAAAATGGTATAGGTGCTGTGAAAAACAGTTTGTCAGTTCTTTATAGAGTTATATACACTGTCCATAACCCAGCAATGCAACTCCTGGGTATTTGCCTTAAAAAAATGTTGTAACATAAAAATCTAACTATGTCAGCTCTATCCATAATTGAAAAAAAGTAGAAAAGATCCAAATGTTCTTTAGCAGATGGATAAACTGTAGTATATTTGTACAATGGAATGCCATTTATTGGGTTGTCAGAAAAGTCATAATGTATTTTTTTCTGTTTTCCAAGCAAAAATACGTCATGACTTTTCTGACAAACCAACAGTAATAAAAAGTAACATACTGGACGAACCAACATGAATAAATCTTGAAAGTATAATACTGAGTGAAGGATTTAGTCCCAGAAAGCTACAACTATATGATTCCATGTGTTCTGAAGAAAGGCAAAGCTATAGAAATGATGAAAAAAAAAATCCATGGATGATAGGTATTAGGGATTGGGAAAGATCTGACTACAAGGAGCAGAACAAGGAGATTTTTTGAAGTGCTAGAACCAGTTTGTATTCCAATTGGGGGATAATTACTTAAATCAATAGTACATGTTATAGAGATTATATAACATAATATATAGCTATATATTATGTTCTATTATGACATACCAACATGTTTATTTACATAAATGTTAACTCACATATAGGACACTATGATAAAACTTATCTATTACACTGTTCAACTCAAAAAACTGTACACTAAAAACCCACTTAATATACATTATGAAACTCAAAAATTTCTATCTTAATCAGTAAACAAACATCATGAACAAAATATTTCATAAATTTATTGCTTCATTATGATACTTTTAGTTCTATTTTGAATATCACATCTTATTAGAACATTTAACACTGAAGATGTTCCATGTAAGCTCTCTGAGAGCAAGAAGTATGTATGTCATTCTCAAATCATTCACCTAAAAGAGAGACTATCCCACAGCAATAACTCAAACACATTTATTGACTAAATAAATGATTCACAAAATAATTCAGCCTCTCCCATAAAACTTTATTATATGATAGAAAGGTTATTTCAATCACTTAGCATAATTAAGATTATCAACCTAAGCTTCATCTTTACTAAATTAGCACTGTAATAAAAAGAGTTCTGTTAAGGGTAGATTATACTTTTGTAGTCAGAATTCAATATAAATATTTCTAGTCAGACATATCCATGGCTACAGATATTCATCTTTACTAAATTAAGGCTGATCTGAAAAATAACTATTTTATAAATGGCCACCACATTAATGAATTTAAAAAGATTTTGGGAGCAGGGAAGAAATTCACACTTTAATTATGAGTTTACATTTAATTCAAAGAGCTATTTGCCTGTACACACACTGCTGAATACACATACAAGGATTCTAACAACAGTTCATTTACTTTCTTAAAAAGATCTTAACACTTACTTTTTCATTAGTTCTACTTTATTAATGAATAAAACATAAAGCTAACCTCTGCTCAAATTTTCTTGAATGAATCAAATCTCACAATTAGTTAGATTAGGTCCCTCACCTAATTCACTTTGTCCAAAATTAACTTTAGTTTCAAGAGACAAAAGATAATTAAAGATAATCAGAAAAAGTATTGATACATGCTACAACATGGGTAAATGTGAAAAATATTAAGATAAGTGAAACAAGCTAGTCACAATGAACCACATATTACATGATTCCATATATACAAAATCTCCAGAATAGGAAAGTCTATAGACACATAAACTAGATCAGTTGTTACCTAAGCCTGGGGACAGGCAATGAAAGGATAACAGGTGACAGTTAAATGCTTTTCTTAGGGAAGGTAAAGAGAATGTTCTAAAAGTTGACTGGATGATAGATACACAACTCTCTGGATATACTAAAAGCTTTTGAATTATACACTCTACATGGTGAATTATATGGCTTGTTAATTTTTTCTCATTAAAGCTATTAAAATTATTAAGGAATGTTTCTGGGACAAAGAAATCTACAAAATCTATAGAATAATTTTCAAGATTAGAAGCTTTTGATCAGCATCAAACATTTAGCACTAGCAGAGTGTCATACACTTTTATAGGTAGTTAGAAGTATACATTTAAATCTGATAAAATTTCCCCCAAATTATCATGAGAAAAGTGATCTGAAGTTAGGTGTTCTATCACATAGTATACAAAAGAAGATTCTGGTGTACAGTTAAGAAAATTCAATGATATTTAATTACATTATGCTGCATGATACTAAATTTTAGTCAACTAAAAGACAACCAGGTTTCCCAAAAAAATACATGTCTTGTGTGTAAAAAATTAATTCTAAATGAAGGAACAGTTAAGCAACAAAGGAGGCTAATTATGTTGATTTAACTTTTTTGTTAAAAAAAAAGTGTTCTTTCTTTGCCAAGCTTAATACAATGGTCTGTGAATTGTTAAGATCAAAGAAGTAAACTATGTGTTTTCTAAAATATGAGTATCCTTCATCAAGTTTTATACTTAGAGCAGCTAAAATACCTACGTGGAAGGATCAGCATTAAGCCCAAAGGACAGGCAATGCACAGCAAGAAAGAAAGCAATTCCCTCCTGTCTTCTGCAGGTCACTACCAAGGACCATGTTAGCAGATCCATACCAGACCCTTAACAGGCAGTTCTGCTGCTACCAGTAATTAGCTTGGACAGCTCTGGCTCCAAGAGCAGCCGCAAGGCTACACCATAATGAGCTCAGCTGGGATTAGCAGGACAGGGCAGGGAACCAAGAGAGCGCAGGCATTCTGCATTGCGTATGTATCTAGGAGATCAAACAAGGATGGCTGGCTAGGTTATCCCCTCTCCACCTTATTCCAAAAATGAAGCATGGCAGTGTCTAAAATACAGGCTAATGAAGAGCGACACCTTCAACAGATGAGAGCCACATTAATTAACACAATCCCTAGATCATATTATACAGTTCAGCTAGAACTAGCAAATGCACAACTTGTTATTTCATCAGATATATACATATATATTTATTTATTTATTTTTAAAAGCTAGTCTTTTTTTCTTTACTTTCATTGGCAAGAAACAGATCACTTCATTTTCCAATTCTATAAGCAATTTATCTCAGAGCCTTTAAGTCACAAAAATTTCTTTGAATGTTTATTAAAGAATATATTGTTAATAAACAGAAACTCACTTTTGAATCACTAGATCCTGGTTCTCCCTTTTAAAATAGGCCAGTTCATTCCATACAGCATCAGAATCTTCTTGTCGAAGTTGCTGGGGTTCTGCTCTCTTTATTTTTCTGATTTCATTGCTATTTTTAAAATAAAGTTGTTTGCTTTCTTACCATGTCAAAATGCATAAGAAGTTATTTATACATTCCTCAAAATTGAAAAATAGTTCAAATTCAATCCATTAATGGAATGAATTTCCTACAACCTATGTAGAAATTAAAATCCCATATCATAATTTCCTGTATCATAATTTGCTCAACTGCTACTATGGAAAGAAAACTTTAAAGTAGACACAAGATATTTTTAGATTTATCCATCTCATTCATTTTACTAGTAAAAATATGTATTACAGGATTGTCACAGATTCTAAGAAAGAACTATTAGCAATCAACTCAACCAGAATTTGTTGCAACAAATCTGTATGTAGTACATGCCTTAGACAAGCTATTATCAATGACTATGTTAGAAAGTAGCATACTTCTAGTGACACCAAAAAGTTAGGTTAGCAGAGGCTGTATTTTCCAGAACAAATAGCTTTATCACTATTTTAATGACAAGTAATCAAAAACACTTTCCAGTGATCCAAGGAAAATCTTAGATGTGACAATTATCTACAGAACTTTCCAAATGCCCTTTACATTTTCATTTTCTGTACATAAAACAAATTCTTAGTTTTTATTTTGTAAAAGTGCTGCACTGGCCAATTTAGAAACAATATTTCTCTATAGAATAGACCAATGTGTATCATCAACATTGCCCTAAAGGATCCATCTCAAAAGATGAGAGGATAGTAGATTTTCTGTACTCATTCAGTCCTTTGCCCTCTGTTGATACTGTTAACAGGGGAGCCACTTACAACTAACCAAGATCTGAACACCTGTTCAGAGCAATTGAACTGAGACCGCCAATTCAATCAGATAAGCTGCAGAAAAAAACTGATGGATAGTAAAGATTTTCAAATTGCATGCTAGGTAAAAGTAGTTTTCAGACAGTTATCTATATATCTGAATTAAACTTTTTTTGGTCTCTCAATTAAACTTAAAAATCTTCTGGGTTATAAACACTGTAATAATAGTACAATTATTTAAAACACATTGTAAATCATATGATATAAACTACTTTGGCTTTACATTATACAATTTTACTAAGCTATTCTATTGATATTCAAATGTACATAGCATTTCATAATCACCTATGTTAATAATTTCTGCAAATGACAGGAAAACCTATTACCTATTACAAGCATATTTCTCTGCTTTCATTTATTATATTCTCTTTAAAAGTTCAAAATAAAGATCTGTCTACCAAATTATTTCTTTAAAATCAAACAAAAGCCATTAAAACACCTATATGATGCTACTCCATTCCATTTAATATTTAGGGAAATGCTTTTATGAGCTATGTAACTCACATGCCACTGCCTTCTTCCCACTGTTTTAATTGCTCTTTTACTGCTCTGTAGTTGGTCTGTAACATCTGTAGCCTTTCCTTGCGTTTTTCATGGGCATCTCTTAGCTCATCATTTTCTTGGCTCTGTGTAACACAAAAAATGAAGTATATAAGTTTGAAGAAAGCAGTAGTATAATGTTGAAAATTAAAGATTACCCATTAGTATGAAATTTGAAAGAAAATAGTATAAAAACAAGAATGAAATTGTAATAATTATCAAAGCAGAAGGAAGAATTCTTAAAGCAAGAGAATAGGTTTGTTTGATAAATTCAACCCTCTCAATGCACTTTAAAAGCTGACCATATAATTTCAAAAATTTGCTATCAAATCGGTTTCATTCCTTTTCCCATGTTAATTAGTATAAGCAAATACTTATGATCCAATCCAACAGATTTTTGTTATTTTTTCTTTTCAACACAAGGATTTTCCCATACATAAAGTGTGATTATTTTATTATTTATAAGTACACATATAATAATACCACTAATAATGTAAGACCAAATTTTCAGATCAATGCTTTACAAACAGCTTGTTATAAAACACAGGGTTTACAAAGAAGGAAAGAAATCAGTTTGGAACTACGTTAAAAGTAGCGCAGTTTAAGATATGGGTTGTACCAGGAAGAATCGGAACAGGAAAACTGAGCTTAGAACTCTAAAACAGGTTAAAAATAAAACAGACAATCCAAACATAACTAGGTTAACAACAGTAGTCCAAGACTTCTAAGATTTAAATAAGCATATCAACTAAATCTTAATTTCTAGACATAACCATAAAATGAACTTACATAATGGGTCATATTCTCAGTTCTAAAAGGATGTATTTATAATACTTATGAACTATATTTATCAAAATAAAAAAATTTCTTGAATTTTTTACTTTTGAGAATTTCAATTTTTTTTTACACTTTTCATATTTATTTAATATTCAGGGGGTAACTGGTACTAAGTACATTAAGGTGGATGAGTAGGTCCATGGCAATCAGAAAGATCCAAATACTGGAGCTTTAAATTAATTCAATTTTTTTTCTGCAAAATACGGGAAAGAACACAGATTTAGATTATGATTAGTAAATTAAATTAGCTAACATATAGGTATACCTCACTTGCCATAGAGGCATAGAGCAAAAATTAGCCTCTTTCTTTCTCCTCTTCCCAGGTATTAACACTGATGTCCTTAACATTTAGGGGCCAAATTTACTGCTTCTTTAACCATCTAATTTTCAGCTCAATGGTGAAAAAATAAGAGTTTGCTTTAATTTACAATAACTAAACCTGCCTCAGCAGTGTGTATACTTTGTCAGTCTACTTTTAATATATTTCTATAGGATACCTTCAATAATTCTCTTAAAGAGTTATCAGAAGGTATTTGAGTACACTGTGTACCAAGTCACTGTATGCCACATGAAATTGGAGAATGAAAAAAATAAGGCATGAAAATGGCATCACTTAATAGAAGCAATCAGAATAAATGTTATCTAAAGACTTTTAGAACATATACAAATCACAGTTACCGCAAACTTGACAAAAAGTAGCATAGTTTAATACCTGCTTAAAAATTCAAGGTACTGAATTTAATTTTTTTTACTTCAATTGAAAATCCATATATTAAGAGCAGGGTATAAAGTGCTGATAAGAGTTCAAGTCCTGCTGCTCAAAGTTACTAAATTTTACCTTGACAAAGCTACTTAAATGCAGAGTGTCTCAGTTTTTCCATCTTCAAAGTAGACACTATTTATATCTCTTCTTTAAGACATCAAAGATAATAATCTTGACCTTGAGTTTTTCAACCAATTGGTAAGCAATCCAAATATAATTAGACCTCTTTGAACAATAAGATATTATTTTATGCAAAATAAATAATTTGAATTAGCCAATAGAAAAATTATAATTCATATTGATACCTTTTTCATAAATGAACATAAGGTGTTACTTTTTTTAGGATTTCTTAAGACTAAGATATACTAGGAATGCAAACAGATTATGCTGTAAATTTATTAATAAAATAAAGTATTACAAAAATGTATAAGTATTAGAAAAGAACCATGCACAAACATAATTCTTAAATAAACTTATAAATGGAAAAATTTATTAAATACTTCTAAAATGGTTTTCTGTAATCATTCTTTTTTTTTTTAAATATATATTTATTTATTTATACAAACACTGGGTACAGTCAGAAGCACAGGAGGGTGAGAGAATTCACCAGAGCCAGAGCAGGGAGCAGAGCAGGCAGAAGGACTGAAGTACACTGCTGAGGGGAGCAGCGGGCGGCAGGAGAGGTCTGCGCGCCATGTGGGACCCTCCTCTGGTGGCCGGGGAGCAGCCGGGAATCGAATCGGTGCTGCAGAGCTTTGCAACCCAGCGCTCAACCACTGCGCCACCGGGGAGGCCCATTCTTAATTGATGTCATTCCCCATGAATTCTTATTTCACAATGAGTTTCCTAAAAATTATTACATACAACTCCAGTGTCTATGTTAGAGTGACTAGGAACTGTGAGTAAATAGGGCCTAAAAGATTGACAAAGAAGTGAAAATTAGAACTGGTGATATTACCTTTCAAAATAATCCCCTCTTGAATTAATGTAACATATTGAATATCTTATTGTTAATATTATCATTATCTTAGTATTTTTCATACTGTCTCTGGTATCATTAATCTTTGAATTTATACCCAATATTTTCCCTAATTCACAAACAGAAGCCAATTATATTACATTCTGAAGCAAAGATTAGGCCTCAATAAAGATTTCCACACAATTTGCTAGGCACAGTAATCAGACTATTAATTAATAAAGCACTCAATGCAGCCACAATTATAAGAATTTTTATACAGTTCTTAGAAAATTATTGAAATCCAATATATTAAAAATATATCAATAATAAAATCCTCCAACTTCAAAAGGAGTATTTATATGAAGATGTCATTGTAGTTTAGTTAAGGACAAAGAAATAGTGATCACCCATTTAAAATGTGAATTATCTAACTTGAAGGATTATATTGCATACGTTGACTTGGTTTTCCATGTCTCATTTTTAGAACACTATTACTTTGGTGGATGGAATATACACCATTTATAATTGTCATAATTCATGACTCATTTTTCCTCTCTACAAAAAGTATTAGTTAATAATCTGCCCCTTTGCCAATGAAACATAATGTTTTGGGCCTCCCCGGTGGCGCAGCGGTTGAGCACTGGGTTGTGATGCTGCCTGCAGCCTCTGCAGCGCTGGTTCGATTCCCAGCTGCTCCTGGTTACCAGAGGATGGTCCCACATGGCGCGCAGACCTCTCCTGCCGCCCGCTGCTCCCCTCAGCAGTGTACTTCGGTCCTTCTGCCTGTTCTTTTACCCGCTCTGGCTCTGGTGAATTCCCTCACCCTCCCACTCTTCTGACTGTACCCAGTGCTTGTATAAACAAATAAATAAATCTTTAAAAAAAAAAAAAAAAAGAAACATAATGTTTCAAAAATTAACTTGTCTAAATATTCAGGATTGGTTTAAAATTATTGAATTATAGCATTATACCACGTATAGAAAGATACATACTCTGTACATAGCTATACATATATATACACACATATGCAAGAACTATCTAGATCCAATCAAAGTCAAGATTCAGAAGAATATTTAGTGATAGGGAAAATGTTCATGATATATTAAGCCTTAAAGCACTTTTTTATTATATTCTAACAAATACAAGCCAACTGTAGTTAGGATTATGGATAAGTCCCATTTAATTTATGATAGCCTATCTCAAAATAATAGTTTATCATTAGGAAAGTATTATACCCAAAGATCTTACAACAAAATCGAATTTAAAGAGCAAATAATACATTTAACATCACTAATTAACACATATTCCTAAAAGGACACATATTCAAAAATATTCCACGAACAGTAACTGAATGAGGTGCATTTACCAACTCATTCAATGAAACATTTACTGAGGACCTTTTATGTATTTTGCAATTAAGTTAGATAAAAGATAGTTTCTAGTTTCTGTATGCAAGTAAGAATGGAAAACTAAAATATCAAAAAAACCTGGAAATTTGTATCAATAAACTTTCCTCAATGACAGCTGCAATTCTATTTTTGAATTCATAAGAATAGATACGATTCTTGATATGATTTTTGGTTTGGTCAAAGGCTCCTTGACAGACACAAGGCAAGCTAAGAATATGAATAATATAAATAAAGCCATGACTCAATCTTCTACAAATGATAGCTAGATTTAAAAAATTAAAAAAAAAAAAACTTTTCACAAAATACCAAGGATTTCCACAGATGTTTAATTTCAGCACAATGTATAAATTACATGAATATCAGAGCAATGAAATTAAAGACAAAAACAATATTCAAAAGATATACTGATGTTACTAAATGTTAAAGAAAAACGCTAACAGAACCAAGTTGCCAAATGCATGAATGTAAGTAAAGAAGGGACTTATGGCATCAGCAACCTCAAGGATAGAAACCATTACACAAAGCTTTAGTGGACTGATCTCAAAATTCTACCGTGTAAGTTGTTAGTTCATTCTACTCATAAAGTCAGGTTTTGGTAATGGATGGATGGTATTATATACTAATAGTTTTCATCCCTTTTTTTACTATTCATTCTTTTATTACATTGGTCACAAATGTACCATTGGTCATAAAAGTTAAACAAGATAATGTATTCATATTTGTACAAAATTCATAACTATAATTAGAATAATATGCATGACTTACTGCTATTATAATAAAGAGCATACTTTCAATGCATGAAAGCGTATTTATAAGTTCCAAAAACTTCTGGTGAAACTTATTTGTCTCTCCCTTCCATTCCCCTTGGTGATCAATTTGGAACCTTAAAGCTACCTACTATGCCATGGAGCATGTCTTTCGTCTTAGTTTTAGTATGTTCAACAGTATCTTCCACGGAACAAACGTCTTTAGGGAAATATTAATAGCTATGACATACTCAAGTAAATCAAGGAAATAAAATGCCCAAGCCTTTCTATAGTCACAAAACATACCGATATATTAAAGTCTCACGAAAAAAGAAAGTTTTCAATCCATTGTTTGCAATAATTGAGAATAGAACATTTTTGTCTGCCATGTTCCCATTAGTTTTTGGCAAAGGTCATGACAAAATTCAACACATACTTAAAGGTAATGGTATACAAACGGAGAAAGATAATCAACAGATATATTTCTAAAACTATAAAAAACTGCTTTGGTCAAAGGGAATCCTCTTCCCCCCACCCCCAATAAAAGGTGAAGTCCCAAGCTCCATCATCTCTGAATGAGATTGGACATAGTGCTGTTACAGAGGTGAAAAATACTTAATGAAATCATTAGGGTGGATCCCATTCCTATATGATTGCTGTCTTTAGAAAAAAGAGAAATTTAGACAATTTAGGGAAAGAGATACAAATAGAGGGGAAATGATGTAAAAGCACAGTGAAAACAACAAGGAATGCCTGAGGCTACCAGAGAGTAATGAAACAGATTCTCCCTCACAAGTTCAGAAGAAACCAACCTTGTTGACACCTTCATTTTAGAAGTTTCTAGTCTCCGGACTTTAAGATAATTAATTTAATTTGATGTAGTCCCAGCTGTTTATCTTTGCCTTCACTATCACTGCTTTGGGTGATGTGTCTTTGAAATTGTTACTGAGGTATATTTCATGTAGTGTTTTGCTGATATTTCCTTCTATATATTTTATGGTTTCAGGTCTTATGTCTAGTTCTTTAATCCATTTAGAGTTGGTTTTTGTGCATGGTGTGAGGTAGTAGTCAAGCTTCATTCTTTTGCATGTAGTGATCCAGCTTTCCCAGCACCATTTATTGAACAAACTTTCTTTGGTACATTGCATATTCTTTGCTCACTGGTCCAACCACTATGGAAAGTTGTGTGGAGATTCCTCAACCTGATAAGGATGGAGCTTCCATATGATCCAGCAATTCCACCCCTACGTATTTACCCAGAGGACACAGAAAACATGAATTCCAAAGGGCACCGGCACCCCTATGTTTATAGCAGCACTATTTACAATAGCTAAGCTATGGAAACAACACAAATGCTCAAAAATAGATGACTGGATCAAGATGATGTGGTACATATACATCATGGAATATTACTCAGCAATCAAAAAAGACAAACTCATGCAATTTGCAGCAACATGGATGGAGCAGGAAGGGATCATGCTCAACAAAATAAGCCAGAAAGAAAAAGAAAAATACTGTATGGTCTCACTCATAGCAGGAATTTAGAAAACTGAAATAAGGGACCAGGAAAAAGACTAATTATAATAAAGTAAAAATCAAAAGCAATAAGCAACTATAAACCAGAGACACACTAAGGGGATTGGGAGGGAGGGAGCAGGATTAAAACAAGGAGGGGTGGGAATTATATGGGGACTATAACCAAGTTGAAAATGCATACATTGGGCCTCCCCGGTGGCGCAGCGGTTGAGCGCTGGGTTGCGAAGCTGCCCACAGCCTCCGTGGCGCCGGTTAGATCCCCGGCTGCTCCCCGGCCCCGGAAGAGGATCCCACATGGTGCGCAGACCTCTCCTGCCACCCGCTGCTCCCCTCAGCAGTGTGCTTCGGTCCTTCTGCCTGCTCTGCTCCCCGCTCTGGCTCTGGTGAATTCTCTCACCCTCCCGCGCTTCTGACTGTACCCAGTGCATGTATAAACAAAACAAACAAACAAATATAATAAATAAATAAATAAAAACATGCCTCTATAAAAAAAAAAAAAAGAAAATGCATACATTGTGCAAAAATGAAAAATGATATAAAAATATATAAAATTGAAAAAAAAAGATTAATAAAAGATAATTTGCTTCTAAGGCAGTCAGTTTCTTGTAGTTTGTCAGGGCAGCTCTAAGAAACTAATAGAGACACATCATTAATTCCTATCTTATACTCGTGCACTTTAGAAAGAGCAAAAATATGAATATGATAGCCCAATAAAGGAGAACAGAGAAAGAGGTCTTCTGTCTTCACTAAGACAGTTATACTCACTAAACTCAGGCAAAAAAATTTAACAGAACCCTAGTCCTACTCACTCTCCTTAGGGTTGCTTTACTATGCAGGTTTTGTATACCCAAATCTTTTGATAATCTTATTATACTGCCTTTTTCAATCAACTACTTTACTTGTTAATATAAGAAATCTTTTTCCACTAAGTGATAAAATGTAAGGAAAAACTATGCTCCCATTTTTTCCCTTATTTTGAAAAATCTGAAAAAACACATTTGAAATTCATGATTATCATCAGTTAATTTGAAAAATGAATACAGAAAAAGCAAAATGACATTGTGTAAAAAAGAATTTTACTCTGCAAATAAACTTGAGGCCTCATGCAAGAGAGTTGTTCTATAAGGGAAAAGGAATAAGGAAATAAATTACTTTTTGAAACAAGGAATTCACAAGTTGAAAAGAATAAAACTAAAAATGTCTCAATTGCTCTAATCTTTCCTGTCAAAAATAAGAGAATATCAAAGATACAGATTTCTGGTATTGTAACAGGGTGGTCCCAGGAAAGGGGGAGGTTCCCTGCCCCACCCAAGGGAGGGTGGAGCTGAGCAGGAAGAGGAGAAGCTGCAGAAGAGACTGAGGAAGGAAGCAGGATGGAGCCAGGAGACCTGGAGGAGGCACATGGAGCCTAGAGACACGTGAAGAAGCTGCGCTTGTCTTTTGGTTGTGGACGGGGTGACACAGATGTGGGTGAGACCCATGGGGAGGTGACAATGGCAGCTTTTATCTTGATGTTGATTTTGCTCTTTTCCTTCCGGGCTTGTCTGCTTGTTTCTGACCCTTTGCTGTGGGTCCCCACTGGAAGATGCTTTAGACTTGTGGCAGGCTTTGGGGCCTTGCTCTGGGCCAATCCCATTTGGATGGACTTTTACCCACGAGGGGACGGGTAACTTTGGGTGTTTCATTTAGAAACTAGATTCTTTGCCTTACCTGTATTGTTTCCTAGTTTTATTAAAATTCCTTTTCATTAAAGTCTCCTATGTTTTGTGTTGATGCGGCGGATGGCAGAACCCATTTAGAATAGGCAGGTTTGCGGGGTTTGGGCTGTCCCTCTCCCTGTCCTATAACAGTATCAAATGAATGGAGATCTACTATTGAATAGATTCATTATGGCTAATTTTGTGTACAAACTTGAGTGTCCAGATATTTGGCTAATCATTATTTTTGGATATACCTATATGAGACTGACATTTGAATCAGGAGACTGAGTAAAGCAGATTGCTCTCCCCAATGTGGATGAACCTCTGGAGAACTCATATTAAAACAGAAGTCTTGGTATACGAATCTCAAGAATTATACAAAAGGAAGACGATAGACTGGTTTCCTAAACATGCCCATAATATTCTACCCATATCTTCACATTTAGACTAATACACCAGATTCTAACTAAACACTCAGTATTATCATCTTAACTAGAGAGAAGGGTCCTCATGATAGTAACTCATCTTTCCTCCTGTTGTACAACAAAAGACAAATGTAATTCTTAGTTAACTATATTGCTCAGTAAGTTCTCATTGAGTCAAAAAATGAGAGAGCAAATAACTCCAGGTATATAATTTTTCAAGTAGAGGCCATGTAATCATTTAATTTTGATAGAAACAATAGATGACAATTTTCCTTTGCTTTAGAACTGACAGTTTAACTTTAAATATACATAAATTAAAACTGTTTAATGAAAAAAAAGAAAAATTAATAATTATGGTATATGTTTAACTATACCCCTCAGCCATATTTTGTTCTAAAGCTAACACACTCTAACTCAGAGCTTTTTCTACCTGAGAATAATCTATGTTATATCACAAATAATCTAAGTTTTAAATATACTAGATTTTAATTGCATGAAATACCGGGTATGTCAAAGAACACTGAGATTCAATTAAATGACTAAATCTTAAATAATTCAGGTCTTTGGTAGTTGCAAAAGAAGACGACAAATTTAGTCACATTTAATTTAGAGAAGAAATAATTAAAACCCTAAGAATAACATAAAATTGGTTCAGTAGACACAACTGACTTCTTCTAAGAAAAAGAAGTATAATTTGGAAAGTACAAACTCTCAAGGATAGGTTGATTAAAAAGGGTTATGCTCTTAAATATTGGTAGAACAAGATTCAAATGTCACATGTTGTCAGACAAAATCAGTTGAAGTGAAAAAAATGATGCATATTTATTTGTCAGTTTGACTTAGTGAATTTTTTATAAATGACAACTTTAATTGACCTGAAGTAGCTTAGCAGAGTTTTTAACTTACCTATTTTTACGTTAATTATATATAAAAAAAACACAAGAATTCTCTTTTCACTATCTTTGTACTTTTTGTCTTTGAGAAACTACAAGAAATTTATTCCCCATGTTTAGCATAAATATTCCCAAATAACTTTAAATATTTAGTTTCCAGATAGCAAATTTATTATATTGTATTGTTATCGTCAGAAAAATTTAAAAACAAGACCAACTGGTTACACATTTTTATGCATGCAATTAAATTCAGGAGATAAATAATAAGCAGTGATTTGTGAAATAAATGTGTTTAATTTGCTATATCTTTATCTTTGCAAGGTTATTACTAAAGATATTATTTCATGTTCACCTTTAGTTGCAGTGCTTTCTCTAAGTTTTCGATCTTTCTTTCAGCTTTTCTTAGCTTCCTTAGCTCCTCTGAGTCTGTGAAAGAGCTCCTTGGGGACAAAGACCTTGAACGTTTCACAGGTGGTTCCTCGAGAATAAAACAAGGACATGGTTGAACTAGTTGGAACACTGGATTATGAAAGACATGCAAAATTAAAGAACAAGTAATTTTGAATACTAATAATGAATTATAAAAAAAATCCTGCATGGAATACCAGAGAAATAACAAGCAGAATTACCACAGTGCTACCGCTAAAGGTTTCTCTGTGACTCGTTAATGAGAATATTCATTTACATTTACATTGTTTCTTTCAGAATAATGATGTCCCATTAGGGAAGACTAAAGGGTTATAGACTCAGAAATGCAAGAAACCTCATTACAAAGGAGGGGATAGAGGCTGATCTAATTGCTCTATAAGGGTCCAAGGTTACACTTGATAGGACAACCAGAAACAAGAGGGAAAGGATTTTTTTTCCCTTTGAAATAGTTTAACACACTGTGAAGATGAAGGAACAATATGCTTGAGGAATATAAATACAACAGACAGTACATCTTATACCATAATGACCATATGGTCATTAACTATAATGTGGCTAACTAGAGACAAGAATGTGTGTTTATATTATGTACAGCTTCATATACCAATCTGGAGAAAGAATATGTGAAAGCAACTATTAAAGCTGGGCAACATATTGTTCATACTTACTTCATGTCCTTATGAAAAAGAAAGAAAATTTTGTTCAAAATATAGCTCATTTCCTAGACTTTTGCTAAAGGCAATGAAATACCAAAGCAGTACATTTTAAACTTAAGGAATACAGTAAACAACAAAATTAGGCTCTATAATGTCGCTCGATTGTAGAAAAGGTTTATTTAAATAAAGTCTAATGCTGAGAAATTACTCCAAAATGGCAAGAAATATAATTATAATACAATTATGCTAAATATATACATATATACATGCATATAAACCTCAATATTCTGAATATTACTAATAATATTTGAGGGAATAAATAAGAGTATCACTGAAAGATGGGTATAATCTTTTTCCCTTATTAAAAGTCTGTTCGACTCATAAGATAAAATGGAAAGAACTAAAAACAATCATCTTGAAGCTGTGTTTCTCTATTTATTAAAAAAAAAGGCACAATTACTTTCTACTGCGGAAGAAACAAGTATGAGAAAAAATAAAAAATATGTCTAAAACTACCTAATCTTACGGAAATGTTATTTCAACTGATAAAGAAATAATATATTTAGAACATGATGCTACAGAATTTTTGTATTACTGAATGTTTATAGAACATTTTGCAACATAGTAGGAATATGTAACGAATACTACAAAAAGGAAAAGCTGAGATATCAATAAACAAGAAATATACTATGAAACATTTTTTATTTCCCTGTATTGCTATAACTTTAAATCTGAATATACGTAACTGTGAAAATTAATGTTAAATGCTGTTTTATGATTTCTATTCCCCATGATCAAGATCTTAAATGTCATTTCTAAATAAAATAGAAACATAAAGATACACTTTTTCTTTAAAAAAAAATTAAAAATCAAGTGACTAATACCACTGTAAAATGAATTATTTACTTAGATAAATATATTACATAGATGAGGGATATTTACTAAACTTTAATAGAACAATTTTGACTTACCAGAAAATACGTGTACTACTACTATATAATTAATTAGGAATATATTATTCAACCTTTAAAAAGGAAAAACTCATTATACCCAAAAATTATTTTATGAAGCTTTCTTAAAAAGCTTCCAGAAATCTAAGCAGAGAAGTAAATACTATGTTCATTTTTTAACTTCTCCATCTTTGCTTTGCCAGTCTCTTCCTGACATATTCACAAGATGACAAAATGGCCCTACCTTATGTTTTCCTTCAGCACTTGTCAAAACACTCTTTTCTGAGGAACTCTTGTTGATAAACATGTTCTCTGACAGTTTTTCATTTGCTATTTTCAATTTCTCCTGTAAATACTCAATTTCAGACTTCTGTGAGACCATTAAGGTTTCTAAGCTAGATAACGACGGTTGTTGAGATACCTATTTGAAGAAATATATATATGTTTATATGTATAAGTAAATGCATACAAAACATATAGGTATATCTTATGCTATTTGTATATATGCGGACATATATTACATAAATTATAAATATTCAGAAAAATATTTCATTTCAATAATTACAAACTAGCATTGGCTAAACTCTATCATCCTAATACAACAGCATTTTTCAATAAGATAACCATACCTGTAAAAATATTTTCATAAGTAACACTGTGAAAAATTTTACAGGAGGAAAAATGTATAACATGGCTACATGATATACACCACTCATCTGTAAAGTGGATGAAATTCATAGTTTTACACATATGTATTTCTTCATGAAATATTTAATCAATTATCTGAAAATCAAGAATTATACAATACCACTGAATATAAAAATGGGGAAGGGAAGTCATGGCACTATTCATCTATTTAACTTTTAATGTGTCCTATATTAGTAACATCTCAAAGACAGGACTCTTTAAAAGTCAATAACACGCACATATTATTGTCTCTTGAAATTTATTCCCGTTGATGAACTGCTAATGATAAGCATCAAATTTTTCCAGAATCCATGAAAAAACTGAATTTCAAGGGAACCTGTTCATGAAAATTAACTTTCTATAATATTCTACTACCATTTTGTTAAATATATTTGAGACTACTAATATTAAAGTTTATGCATATAAGCTATTTCAAACTAACCATTCTATTTACAAAATTAAAAACTAAATCATAGTGAAACAAAGTTTTTGTTGATTGCTAATAAAGTCAAATCTAATCTTAAAATTTTAATATTTTCAATGTGAATCCATTAGTCCTGAAAAGTTTCATTGAAAATGTAAAGGGCCGCATTCTTCCTAAATGATAGTGCCATAACTTTTATAATGAGAAGGGTTAGCTTTGATTTATGCTGTTACACTTTCCTTAGGTTTATAATACCTGATTTATTTCCCAACCTTTATTTTATCATACTAGTAAATATTTTCCTCAGAATGTTGTTTATATTATAGTTATCCACTTATAATAACTAAAGTATTTAACTCCATTACTTACCTTTGGATATCCAACTAAATTTACTTTATTTACTTTTTGTCCAGACTATAAAGAACTTTGCCCTATTCTTGTCTCCCCCATTTAATCAAATATAACTTTTATTTCTTTTATTTTTCCTATTTTGTGAACAAAGTGATGTTTCCAAATATTTCCTTTGATTGACCTGTCAATCTAAACAATTTTCAAAGTCTACTCACTTGTTTCAGGTTTCTTGAAATACTATCATGAAGAATATATTAACAATCTATCATTTACCATTGAAATTTTAAATAAATCATTCAAAGTAAAATAAAATTTTAAATAAATCAGGGGAAAAAAGCTTTAGTTTATCAGTAATTCCAATAAGCAATTCTGAGCAATCATTGGGTTATAATTATAATTCAAGCATACATGAAGACATTTAAAATGTTCCAACAGTGGATTTTAGTCAGTAAGATACTAAAAATTCATATTTGAAATCTAAAATTCCTCAATAAATAACCCAACTAAAATTAAAATACTACGAAATGAGTGATTAGCACATTTTCAAATAGGAGTCACAAAGAAATGGTAAGTAAGTAAAATGTGTTGTTTAGTTTGTTTTAAATCTGCAACTTTAGAATTGTTCAACAGATACTTTGTAGACATGTTAAATGAGTACACATACTCCTCACTTCCATAAGGAATGATATATCTTTGGGTTTTTTTTAAAGTGTTCTTTTCTCTCTTGCCTCTTATCTATTTTGCTAAATATGTATATGCACAGTAAATATTTCATATTTCTCTTAGAATGACCATTTTTTTAAATTAAAAGTAAAGTGAAATACCAAACCACACCCAGCCTCATTGTTGAGAAGGAGAGTATTTGTGGGAGTAGCTACTCAGTTTCAGCCAATTGTTTTCATAGAGGAATGTGACCCACCCCTGCCAGATCTAATTTTTCAAAAGAAGTAATGAATTAAGATTTCTAAGCAAAATCAACTAGTTTCAGAATGTTGGCCAAATTCAGTTTATCACTACAGTGCTTTGAGAATATGGTGGTAGGCATATAAACTGCTACAAATTTTCTAAAGAAATCTTGAAATATGCATCAAACACATGAAAATGTATCAATTCCATTTTAATTATGTTGAAGGTTGACACAGAGAGATAACCATAATGAACTAAAAAGTGAGAAGAGCATTACAAAAGAGAATAGTGTACAGAAATAGATTTCACCCAACATGTACAGCGAAAAATAACCTATACAACCTACATATTATAGAATTGTTTCTCAGTGGAGGGATTATATATGAATTATTTTCTTTATGCTTATCTGAATTTACTTAAAATATTTTAGAAAATATCTTAAACAATGAATGTCATTGTGTTCAAAATAAATTTTTTTTCCTGCAAGTAACAGGAATAAAAGTTCAAATCCCCGCATTTGTGAGTGATAGACTAGGGTACCCAGACTTTAAAAAGAAAATTATTTTAATTCACCTCCTTTGACCAGATATTTATTTAATTGACTTTAAGTTTTAGAATAGTTTTATATTGACAGAAAAACTGAGCTGCTATTATAGAGAGTTCTCTTACCCCCTTCCCCAACACCTATCCAACCAATTTTTCCTATTATTAACATGTTAAATTAATACGGCACATTTTATACAATTAATGAGCCAATATTCATATATTACTTTTAACTGAAACCCACAGTTTATTCAACCTTCTATAGTTTTTATCTTGTCCTTTTCTATTCCAGAATCCTACCAAGTATCCAGGTTATGATATTACACATAGCTGTCGTGTCAGCAACTACTGACTGTGACAGATTCTCAGACTTCCCTTATTTTATGACATGGACAGTTTTGATTTTTGAGGAGTACTATTCAGGAACAACAGTCAGATGGCCCTCTATTAGAATTTGTTTCTTCTCATGATTAGACTGGGGATGTGTTTTGAGGAGGAAGTTCACAGAAATGTCACTCTCATAACATGTATCAACAGAACTTACTATCAACATGATTTGACTGTTGATGTTGGTCTTGTTGACCAGCTCAAATTGTGTTCATCACGTTACTCCACTATAAAGTGACTCTTTAGTCCCCCATCCATATTGTACTCTTTAACCTGTTTTTTACACTTAATAATTAAGTGTTAGTATTTTATGTACAATAACATATGAGACTATATATATATATAATATATATATATATATCATCATATGTCCTTAACCTTCTTAAGTGTTACATTACAGGCTTGACAACATCAAGACACCCAATCTCCCTGTATGTCAAATTTTAGTGTATCCATTGTTCTTAAAATCCTACTCCTTGAAAAGTTAACTTTTGCTAAGAACTACCAGAATTTCATAAACAATTTTTTCTCTAATATTAAAAATTCACATCTACCTTTTCAGTTTACAATCTTGAAGGCTAATGGTATGGTGCTAAACAGAAAGGGAGAGGTGGAGGCCTCCCTGGTGGCGCAAGGGGTTAAGCACAGCACTATGAAGCAATCCGCAGCCTTTGCAGCACCAGTTTGAACCCCAGCCAGCCAGGGAGCAACCCACATGGTGCAGCAGACCTCTCCTGTCTCATTCCCTGCTTCCCTCAGCAGTGTATTTCAGTCAGTCTCCCTGTTCTGTTCCCCACTCTGTCTCTGATAAATCCTCTCACCCCCTGCAACTCTGGCCTGTAACCCAGCTCCTGTATGCATAAATAAATCTTTAAAAAAAAAAAAGGAGAGGTGGGAATCTTTAAGTATTGTGCCAATTACTATTTTAAAAATTACATAACTGGGCCTCCCTGGTGGCGCAGTTGGGTGCAGCGCAGTGAAGCTGTCTACAGCCTCTGCAGTGCCGGTTCCATCCCCACTGGCTGCGGAGCAACCCACTTGGCATGGCAGACCTCTCCTGTCTCACCTGCTTCTTCCCTCAGCAGTGTATTTCAGTCGTCTGCCTGTTCTATTCCCCACTCTGTCTCTGGTGAATCCTCTCATCCTCCCACACAGTTGGCCTTTACCCCGGTTCTTGTATAAATAAATAATAAAATAAAAATAAAAATAAAAATTATATAACTTAAATATCTAGTCACGTAACATTACTTTCAAGCAACATTGTTTAATGTTATTATGGTGAAAGCTGAGCAAATACTTCCTAATAAGGAGAAAATTGTTTCACAACTGTAACAACTGTAAAAATGTTATGTTAAAATTTTTACTTATTAGTAATTACAATCAAATACATTAAGTATTTCCTACTATACTAAAATAATAACTAGAATTCAGTGAAAAAGTATTGAGTTCCTATCTCTAGTTAAATATTTCATATATACTGGATCACTTATTTTAAGAAATTTACAAATTGCAAACCTGTCAACACAATATAACAGGTTACAAAACAAAAACATTTAAGAACCTCAGCCAAAAAGACTTTTCCCAAATATCTCATTGAAAATCAAATAAAAACCAAACATGTGTATACATTTAAAATACTTAACAAGTATGTATATAAAATATTTAATCTATGTACATATGCATTATAGAAATGAAAGTCTTGAAGGAATATTCTTTGATAATTCAAATCCTTTTGAAAGACAGTATATAAAAAGCATATGGATACAGAGTGTGTAAGTGTAGTGTATATATGCATAATAGAGTGGTTATATGCAATTTTTTTCTCATAAAATAACTGAATCTCAGAAGAAACTTGACATTTTATTTAAAATTGACTTTAGAAATACAGAGATAAACTTACTGCCAATTTATGAAACATTGCTAATAGAATCATCCATAAGCTAAAAATGAATGATTTTTATTTGTAAGGGAAAAAAGAAAAACAATCAACATATCGTAAATAAAAATTCTTATTGCAAATAGAAGTAAAGGAGATTAAAGTTACACCTCATTTCTAGAAACACTATGAATTTAAGTAATAAATGTCTATTATCTCTAAGTCAGCTAGTACTCTCTTTTTAAAA